AAGTACTACTGCAAAACTTTCATCATCTAGGAAATAAAACTGTCCCACCTTATACTTTAGAGTACAGCTTTTCTTGAGCCTCAAAAAAGAGTTGAACCTTCCTGGAAAATTTCTCAGTCATTCTGAAGATTTTGTACTCATTCAGATTTGACCTGGCTTTATTAATGTTATATCCCATTTTATTGGTGAACTTCTTTGGTAATTACTGAAGAGAAAAATCAAAGTAGGAGCTTTAAAATCTTCAGATGCTGTCTTCTTTTAACAGACTTTGAAGATGCGTTTATATATTTTTATGCATATGTATTTATATATTTAATGAGGACTGAGGCTAATTTTTCAGGTTTTGGTACCAAGTTTTTTACTGCTCTGATGAGCAATCCACCATACCGCTTTGTAAACCCTAGAACTATTTATGTCAGCTAAATCACAACATCAGAACAATGCGCTATCAGGAAGAATAAAGCATAGTATATAAACTGAAGAAAGTATTGTTGCAATAATCTTAGCTGTGCTTTAAGTAGGCAGAATTAGGTGTGTTCGTATCAGTGCAACTGAGGGAGCACGCAATACAACACTGCAGCCATCAAAGGTGGCTTTACAGTAGAACCTAAGCTTTTAAAGCCTGCTTTATCTAATCCTGACTACCTGGATGTGACCTTCAAAAGCTGTTTTGAGTGCTCCCACAGCACTGGGGTCGCCTTTTTCCCTGCAGAGCTGCCTTTAAATATGAAACACTCCTTATGGCTTCTGCATTATGAAGGTTTGACAGTGCCTGCCCTTGTAGTTCAACCTGTGCTGCAGCATCCCTGTAATATTCCTGAATCATTGACTGGAAAAGCAGAGTGAGGACATGCTTGATACCAAACGTGGGCTCTGCTTAAACTACACAATAATTTGGTGATGGCAAACTCAGTTCTGATGTAAAACAGATTTTATCGCCTTGTCTGCTGTAGGGAGTTTGATTTTCTGACTCATATTTAGTGGGCCAGAAGTCACAGCCCTCTTGCATCATTAAGCAATAGTCTTTCCATTCTGTCTCTCACACCTTTCACAGAAGGCCCAGAGGGTGCTCAGCCAAATACTTGCTGTTGCTTGCACTGTTAGAATGGATTGATAAAATCTTTGTCTTTGAAAAATAAGCAGGGTGTCATGTGAAGAATCCCTCTGGGTTTCTGTAAGACAGAAATAAATCCAGTAGTGAGCAACTCCAGTAGGATATTTTGGTAAGGATTTAGAATACATTCCTGCCTTCAGCATTTCCTGTGAATACCGCGCTGAAAAAATGCATTTTAAAGTGTGTGTGCATGTCTTCCAGAAGCTGGTCATTAAAATGCAATTGTCTAATGAGCACCCATGTCATTGCTGTACATTTATGGAGAGCTGGTTGTAAACACTAAGTGGTTCAACTAAGAAATCAGCTTCCTGTAGATTAATTGTGACAGTGATGTATGTAAATAGAACTAATCAGAGATGCCAGCCCTATACCCATGGGACAGGCAGGAAATGAGTACAGCTGAGAACGTTGCAGACTCACTTTCTTATTTTGACCTTTCAAAGACAAAATAAATGAATTTAGTTTAGCACAGATGTAACCATTTCCCACAGCAGCAGTTCTGCTGGAACTACAAAGATTCCTGAGCCTCCAGCAAGCTTGAGTTTTCATCACAGGTGCCTTAACAAAACTGTTGTGAGATCTCTAGCTGACAGGACCTACAGACCCTGAGTGAGAAGTGTTACATTATTCTTGTCAGTGATCCATATCTGAAGCAATGCAATTTTGTTTCCTTCCTTTTAAACAGAAACAACAGAAGAGGGTTTTATAATGAGAACTATGTTTAAGCATTACAATACTTCTCTTCCACTAACTCTGAAGTATTCCACATGCCAAGTTCCTCTACTAGGATGAATCATGTAAATGCACCACTGAATTAGACTGCAAGCTCCTCTGCTTGAGATTTACAATAAAACTTTTCCCTTTGGTAGTCCTTCATGAAGCAAAAATGTTTTTTTGTCTGAAGATAAGCAAAACAAACATATGTTGGATTATATGATTAAATTGTAGGTCCAATTGTGGTTCCCAATAAGGAATAAACAACATAAATATTGATGAAGTGATAAATGGTTAGGAAGTTACTGAAGAATGGTAACAATTAAATTCATTAAAAACATGTAATTTTAATTTTCAACTCTTCAAGTCCTTAACAGGAAAAAGAAAGAGAGATGTGGAAATGCAGCTTTTCAGCCCATGCCCTTCAGTAAAGTTTCTTTCCGTGCTTATTCTTCACAGCACAGTAGAGACTGTGTTGCTTTTTTTCATTCCTGCAAAGGTCAAAGGAGAAACTAAAACAAACATAACCCTGCAAAAGTCATATTGGTAAAACTGGATTTGAATAAGAACAGTGGTGGAACTTGGTTGTGGAGGAGCACAGGCGATGCTAGAACATGAGCATGGACATGACACTTACCTGGCAAGTAACAAAAATAGCTTGGAAAGAGATGTTGCTGGATTGCTGACAAAGAATTTCTCACTATGCTCTAGTTCTTTGTGCTGAGCTGAACCCCTCAGTGAGGGCTTCACATAGGTTGAACTGAAAGCCTGAATCTTTCAGTGCTAAACTTTAAAAAAGAAATTACATATTCAGTGTATAATACAACTTATTACTAATGGTATCAGTCAGTATTTGTTTCACAGAGGGCAGCTATTGGGTCTACACAAGTCAGGAATGACTTGACTGTCAGCTTTATAGGACTTTATGAAACACTACAGAAGCCAGGCACTTTTCACAACAGGCCTAAAGAGATCAGGACATCACCTCAAGGAACTTCATGGTCTATCTCTCCTGCACTTCATGGTCAATTCAGTTTTGCTTTTTTGTTGCATGAAGATTGTTTTGAAAATGCATTTTCTATTCATCTATGAAAGCTCTAGAAGAAATATATTTATTCTTGTCTACAAGTAAAAAATCATTAAGTCAATATTGCTCTTGCTTTGCAGAGATGATCGTGATTTGAGGGCTTAAAAATCTCCCAAAAGATTTGTGAATACATTTCAGTGGTTAGAGAAGTGGTTGGGAATTAGAACATTTAGTTCTCATCCCAAATATCTTTAGAACTTCCTAGGTCTCTAGTCATGTCATCAGCGTGATATTTTGGGTCTGCTTTTTCTAGCTTAAAGTAACTTATGCATATTTCTGTATCATCATCTTGCAGTGTGCAAAATGGCCCAGAAGCATTTACAGGGTCATTAATGCTGTTGCTGTAACTACTGTAGCCTGCAGTGCAAACCAGAAATACTTATTAGCACCAGCGCCATTGCTGACAAAACACAGACTGACTGTGATGCAACTTGGCTACTTCAGGGCTTGAATTTAATATTAGCTTTCTATTAATGGGCCAGGGGAAGTAGAAAATAGAAAAAAGAGAGATTGTAATTATTCAAGTTTCTGAATGAATTCTCAGGAGATGCACAGCACACTGCTGCATTTGGGACTGATGCTATTATCACAATGTAGTACAGTAATATGTCAAGCATCTAAGATGTAACACCCATTGCTTTAGAGTCATTTTAAGAGTGGATTGGAAAAGCCATTCATGCATACGCTGAGGAGAGGCCATTATTGGTGGGTGCTGGAAGAAATGACATAACAGGTCATTTCCATCTATAAGTTACATGGTGCAGTGGCAAGGCCACAATAACTCACTTCTGAGTGATCTTCCATGCTCCAGATCTTTCTTAAATAAGATTGTATGAAATACTGAGGCTACAATTAACAACATTTTTCAGAAACTGAAGTCACCAGATAATAAAATTATGGTAGATGTAAACAGACAGTATTATATACACATAATAGGAGGGGAAAAAAGGTCATGTGAATACCACTGTTGCAGAACAACAAAGTAAAATCATTCATTCTGTATTTACTTACTTATTGGTAAAAGGCAGAATATATTGTTATAGACAGCTGTGGTTAAAGCCAGTTTAAAAGAAGCAGGATGTGATATATGTCTACTCTGAAACTGAAACTGAATGTTAAAACCATAACTCGGCTTCTTAAAGATCCTTGTGTTACAAAATGTGGATTTGCACTGAGTATTTCCCACTTAGTCTGATTTTAAAATTTGTGTCACATATGTAATACATGTGAGTTTTCTTTCATTTTTTTTCTCTCTTAAAAAATTCACAATAGAGAACATCTTTTTTTGTTATGTTTCAGGAATCTGTAGTCCCAGCAGAGGTTTTTTCTGTAATTCATTTGAATTTTAATACCTCGTGTACTTCTCATCTCTGGAAGCCACAAGGAAAAGGCCATAGTGGGACAGGCACCTGAACTTACCCACGTTGCAGTAATTGTCAGAACTGAGCAAAACCAACACAAATTGTGCTTAAGAAACTTAACTGACACCAAACTTGTATTTGAAGAGGTAATTTGTGCTTATCAGGCTAAAAAATTAATACATTTTTACATTATGCAAACTGAAATGAGAAATTTTTTGTTATTTACTGTCAAAACAAGCAAATAGAATTCCTTTTTTTTTTTTTTCTAAAGGCTTTTTACCTTGTCTGGGAAACTGTAAATGAAAATAAAGCCACAGGTAGAAAAAAGAGGAGTTTGAAGTGGAGAAACTTGAAATTAGAGTAGGTGCCCATAATTTCTGAAAAATGGGGCAAAACTAAAATCTCTGCTTACAAAATATCTACTCAACCACAGGTTCATCTGGCTTTTGCAGTAGACTCTGAGAAACCCTGCATTTCAATTTTGCATGCTGCTGATAGAACTGATTCTATGTCTGGCATATGGCACTGTTGGAGGCTGTAGAGGGCAATTTAAGGTCAGTTAGAAGTTCTTCTAAGAGCTTAAGATAATGTTATGCGTTGGTAACATCCTAAGTCCAGTAGAATACCAGCTTCCACAAGCAGAAACCCAGGAGGTGCTCCCTGCTGGTAGCCGTGTTTGTCTGGATGGTCAATGGCCATTTTGCAAAGTTGCAATCTCACTTCCCTAAATGACGAGTGTAAAACCAGAACCCTACTTGAAATCCTGTGTACGTGCAGCTGCAGTGGCAGTGAAGGTGGAGAACCTCCTTCTTCCTACTACCTGCTCTGGAAACTGCTCGACGGCCAATTGGGGGCAACCGATACAGCATGTGAGAGCCCTCCTGAGCACATCAGTCACACCAGATGTAACTGCTGTAAGGAAGTAAAAGAAACATTTTCTGAAACTGGGAAGCCTTTTCAGAGGAAGATGGAGAATCCGCTTCTTTTATTCCCTCAAGTAAACGTTTCTGCTTCAAAGGATAAACCCTATTACAAAGTCATGAAATCAACCATTAAGGAAGAGCCACATAAAGCAAGCAAGCCTGGGTAAGTTTTAAGGGCATGCTGATACTGAGTATTCTGTTTACATAGAGGATTCTAACATAGCTTGTGGGTATGAATTTAGGGCACAGATCTTTTTTTTTTTACGTATTCATGAAAACTCAAGAACTGCAGTCTTTGAAATCATATACACAAAATACTCATCACAGATTATTTTTTTTTCCTTTGTAAGAACAAGGAACAAATAATAAGGTAAGAAAATAGGAAAAGGAGGTTTCAACACATTCTGAGAAATGCTTCTTTAAAGCCTGAATATGAGCTGGTAAAGTTTCTTTGTAAAAATTTCAAATGACAGGAAACAATACTTCCTTTTTCTCTGCAAAACTTTAAAAGTTGAACTGCTGAGCCAGCTGTTTATGTTCTCTAATGTGAAATTTCACCCCTTCATTTCAAAATCAAGAGAGTGAAAATGAAAAGATTTCTATTTCTCTTTGCCAGTGCTGTCTATGTAAGTTTGTGCTAAGCTATAAAGGAAAAAAAAAATCACTAATGTGAATAAGTAGGAGAGGTAGCATCAACATTAATGTGAGTAAATATATGTGGATCTATGATGCAGAAAGAGATATTAGTCAAAGGAAATGTTTGAGGGGAAAACCCCCTAATTTTCAACAACGTTGCTTGAAAAGCCACCCTAATTCTGTTGTAGAGCTAAGCAGAAGAGAAATAGGCTGAGCCTTCTCCTGCAGAAACCTGAATTTCATGAAGGTGATCATCTTGCTAAACCTGAAAACTTGACAAAAGCAGCAAGGTAAGTGTCATAAAAGACTGAGGAGATGGGGATTCCTTTCAAGAAGTGCCTGTGTGAGTCAGATCGTTTCCTGAATCTATGTGAGTGTGTTCAGACTTGGCAGAGACAAGGCTTTCAAGTTCTATTTAATTTTAAAGCTAGCAGTCTAACTCAAGCATGTAAACACTATAGAATTACCTGGTATGCACCAGGGTAGCTCACCACAAGTGTTTTTACACCACTAAGTGTAGACTGGTCACCATACACTTGCAGATATGTTTAAACCTTTCCTCATGCCAACAGCATTTTTATTAGTCCACTGACTACATGGAGCAAGCGGCAACTCAGAAATGTAGCTGACAAATTTTTGCTTACAGGGAAATCATACAGCTACTTGGAAAGCAGGTTTCCCATAGAATTCTGTGATGTACAAATGCCAGATAAATGTCAAATACTGAATGCATAGTTCCTCAATAATTCCAGTAATTATTGGAACACTTTTGTCTCCAAAATTCAGATACTGAAGTTTAAACACTGTTGTAATATTGTCCCTATTATACTATTTCTTATAAAGATACAGGGTAAAATCTTGGTTTTGTTGGATTCAATAAGAATTTAGTTTCTGACTTCAGTGGGGTACCAAGATCTCACTGATGCATAGGAATTGCATTTGTAGGTCATGACTGAAAAGAAGGAATTTGTGAAATACTGCAACTCCGTGGCCTAAACAAATTTGCTGCCCCTTTCTTTCCATTACAGATCACTTCAGAATATTTCAGTGCTTTCCATGCTCTTTTGCCTTTAGAACTTGGTGAACCTTGTTTAAGCAGTTACTATCTTTTGGGACCAAGATGCCACTTTGACCAGAAAAAGGGCTTCTACAAGCCCTTACTAATTGTGAATGTGTAGTAGAAATGGTATAGAGATCCAAATGCTGTTTCTAGATCCCATGAAAAAGTGGTCAAGAATATTTGCACCTATGCATCAGGGTAATTAGCCATTTGTTGCTCGTATGTCCAAATATCATGCCCATCCAAATGATACGGTGTACTCAGAATGTGGAACTTTCCAGTCCACACCTGTGGGGCATTTCATTAATTTTTTTTTCCTCTCTCCTTCTTGTTTTGCTGCTGGCAGAAGCCTTAATTCAGTGTTTTTACAGTTCACTCAGGAATACAAGACATTGCAATGACAAAGTTAAAACAGTGCTGAGAACACCCTTTTCCCATTTCTCTTTTCCATACATGTAAAACCATGTGAGATTGCAGCTGAAAACAGGAAGCACAGTCTCCACGCCACCTGTATGCAGGCAGTGGTGGGTGTTTGATTACCCCAGGTATCTCAAAATACATGGCCATCAGTGCATTCTTATAATCTCTGGAAAGGCACTTTTGGAGCCAGATATTATAGCAATAAATAATTCTCTGAAGAATTTCCCCCTTTTAACAGACTATCACTTCCTTTTCAGCTGCCTTTTACCATGTTATTCTCAGCTGGGTGCCTGACTAACAGGGATTCATACCTTCTTGTGGTACAGAAGAGAAACTGGTAGATTTTTGCCAATCTTTACATATGGATTAGAGAGGGGTATTATTTTTTTTATGAAAATAAAAGATAATTACTCTTTTCTGAATAGTAAAATGAGATGATAGTTTGAGATTTATTACTTAAATAATTTACAGTTTTTATAATTTCCATTCTTCACACAGATATTGACTAACACAGGTATTAAAAAAATAATGAAACACTGCAGTTGGCCAGAGTGGTGATTGTGGAAATGCCTCTGACCTGTAAATTAGCTTTTTCTCATCTTTAGAAAGTGACAAAGCTGAACAAATCTTGGTTTCCATCTATTGCAGCAACTCATTTCTGCACCCAAGTGTCGGGGATCTATGGCGCTGTTGGGTTGATGCAGTTTTTTGAAGGAAAACCAGAAATCCACACCAAGTTTCCAAACCCAGCAAAGAACTTCTCACATTCCATGCAGTTGCAGATGACATAGGTTGTCTGAAGTCATCAGGGTTTTTCTTTCACTGTGACCAAATTAATCTGTAACTATATGAACTCACTGTTCCCAGACTTACAAGTCCACAGAGAACTGCACTTTTTGTACTTTCATAACTAAAAACATCTGTAAGAGAGTGAGCTCTTGTTTTCTCTGACTCCAGAATCCCCCTACTTTACTGGTCTATGCTCATTTCTTCAATTTCAGTTCTCCAGCATGTGTACCTATGAAGAACTGTTTGTTTCTTTCTAGTTAAAGATTTCATTCCTATAAGCAATGACTAAGATACATGCATCACCTATTAAATAAATAAAAAATACTCCTTTTAGTTTTGTGCAAGACCAAGATCATTACTGGCTTTTAATTCCTTCCCAAAATGACTGGAATTTCTTTTCATCTAAACTTCATGTGCCTACAGATTTTGCCAAGGCAACCCAAATTTTGTGAATCAGGCAACAGAACGTCAAGCCTCCACGAGGAAGAGGGAGTCATGTCCAAGAAATGTTCAGTCCATGAAGAGTTGTTCAAACCAACTAACCCAGACAAGTCACCTACTGATACTTTCAGTGTATTGTGCTTTGCCCTTGAATGAAAATGGTTCTAAATATTAACATTCAAGCAGCTGATAAAATTTGACTTAAGCTTCAGGCTTGAAACTTAAATCCTGCTCCTAGCATGATGAAATTAATCTCTGGGCTTACTCCATTTCTGGTCTGCTAAAAATCAAAGTACTGTTGAGGTGTGCATTTAGGGTTAATCTATGCAAAACAAAAAAAAAGGGTTTCTCCAAATCTGTAATTGCGAGTGATGTTGGCTGTTCTTCTTTACTTTCTTCATTGTTCTTTTAGGCAGAATATTTGAAATCAAAGTAAAATATGTGCAACTTGACATATTTGTTGAAGAATATGTTTTATAAATGGAGCATAACTTTGTGGAGAACAAACCAGCCTATTTGTGCTATTACCCTGTAAGACTATCACCTAAACCATATTGCTACAACTTTGTCTTCAGGCTATAGAACTTCTGGTGGTAACACAGCCTCAGACCAAGTACATTCAAAACCAAATCTCTGCAAGAATATTTTTTAAGTTTAAGTAGGTGACTGCCTGGTTCCCCCAAGAGTTTTGCCATACTGCATGATATCAATTTGCTTAATTAGTAGCACAACACAAAACACTGAAAAGAAAAATCTCTGCTTTTATGGATTTTTAGGCAGGGGAAAATGCAACTCTGCAGGAAAAGTGTCAGAAAAAAATGAAACCAAATGTTTCTGAAGTCCCTAAGAAAATTAGCTCCTTTAGTAATGTGATCTAATCAAAGACTTTGTGAAACAGTCTTAAGCAATAATGGTAACAGGTTACATAAGTTGCAGCAGCTTCATAAATACACAATATGCACAATTCTTCAAACCCACTTTCTGTTTCTTAAGCAGTGTGTCTCCTGAAGAAGCAGTGAAATGGGGAGAGTCTTTTGACAAACTGCTTTCTGAGAAAGGTTTGTAGCTTTTCCCTCTCTGTGCAGACTGTTGGGATAGAAAAATCCAGTGTGCACTTAAATAGACCTGGCAACTACCTTAAACTAGATAGGATGGGTTATCTGTAGTAGCTTGTGTTTTTGCTCTCCTGTGCTTAGGCTATAGCATGCTGTCAAGTATTGAAAATAGTTGAAAATAGCTTTTAAGTTTTGTATTTTATTGAGCAAAGTAATGTAACAGACAGCAAGGAGTTCCTTCAATAAACAGTAGAATTTTATTTGAGCATTGTTCAAATATTCCTGACCATAAGATCAAACCTTAAAAATGAAAACATGTTCTGTGTATTTAAGAACAGACTTTGTCACTTCTGGTACAGTTTGTTTCTAAAACAGTGATAGGATCAAAGCTGACCGTCACTTGAAAGGGCTTGTTGCTTATGTAATTATCAAATGCACGTATGCCCCTCCTTCAATTTTGGAGGGACACATGTATAATCCAGCTACAATGCTGGACACGATGTGCTTTTCAGATCTGCCCCTTGAATAGCTGACATCAGTACGATTGCATTACTTCTGCAGATTAAGCATACTTGAAATGAAAATATCTTCAGCATGATAAAAATAAGATAAATCAAACTGTCAAGATGTTACAAGCCATTCATTTTAAATTGTTACTGGAGACAGCCTACATACAAACAAAGATTCAAATAGTGTTTCAGTCAACCTAAGTTGACATTCAGCCAGAATAAAATCTGTCACTTCCACAACCATCCACACGTTTTGATTATTTCTGTTTCTAAATTAATAAGATCTTGGTAGTGGAGTTTTACAGCTGCTGAGAATTCTCTAATGGGAGTTGCAGTAGTCAGGGTCATAATGAAAGAACTGCACTTATTTGAAAATCTTTATGTATTTTAAAGTAGTTATCTATAATGTGATATAATTCAAAGGGAGCAGAACCTATTTTGTTGCCTTGCACAGACTGTGTGAAAAGAGTAGCTGTTTGATAAGGATATATGTTTTTTTTAACGCCATTCAACATTCCTTTCTGTAGCTGGATTGGATGCCTTTACGAAGTTTCTGAAAACTGAGTTCAGTGAGGAAAACATTGAGTTCTGGATAGCTTGTGAGGATTACAAGAAGAGCAAGACTGCACATGAACTTTTGCCAAAAGCTAAGACCATTTATGAAACATTCATACAGAAAGATGCTCCAAAAGAGGTACAGTAAAAACATTCTTCATTGTATACAGTATTTGACACAACTGCATCTGCTGAAATCTGCTTTTAAGAAGTGCATGCCTAGATGTGGAGGCAACAGTTAATCATGTAGTCACTGACATAAGAAGTCTGTACCTTAAATGTCAAAGTTTGGAAGGAAATGTGCAAGCAATGGCATAGATTATTCTCATTGTCCCCCATATTCCTTTCAATACCCCCTCCATGTTACTCTTTTAAGTGTAGAGCAAGAGATTAAATGTTATATTATAGGACTCGGAGATTCCTAGTGGTCTGTAAAGAAAAAATAGGGATGTTAAATATTAAAGCTGCAATGAGATATAATAGCTAGAATTTGTGGAAGTATTATCTGTCTTTATTTAAAGCTACCTCCAGAACCACAGAACTATTGTCCCTTTCTTTTAAACCAGTAATCCTCTGTTGAATTATTACATGACTGAGGTTCAGAAGCTTTTACTTTAAATGAGCCAAAGGACTAAAAGAGACTAGAATAAGCTATTAAAATTAAACATATCCTTTAAAACATAACTCTTTTAAGCATGGGCTTTTCTTGATTAATCCTTCCCCTGATTGATCCTTCCACCCTTCTACTCCCCAGATCTAATTGTGTGCTCTTGGTACATTACTGTCAGCTGGGAGTGGGGGAGGAAGAAGGGGGTGAGTGGCTGCATGGTTCTGGGTTACCAGCTGGGCTTAAACCACGACACACATACATAAAAATATGTTGGTACATCAATCCTCATCAACAGTAAGGCCTTTTTATATTACTGTAATAGTGCAAGAAGTTTTCATATTTACAATTTCTTCATATTACTGAAACATGTTATAAAGAATTCAGAAATGAGCAAAAGGAATACTTTTTTGCGTGCTCTACGAAAGTGATGAACAGACTGGGAAATGATGAAGTCTCACTGAAATCACCATCAGCCTCTCCAGTACGTCTTTTGGACTAATAATTTCCTGTAATTCTGTTGAGTTTGAGATCAAATTATGTTACTGGCCAATGCTCCTTTTTTTCCTGTATTATTTCTTTCTTATTTGTCAATATAGCAAAATTTACACACTAACTGCTGCTTCCCTGTAACAAGGGTGTAAAAGATGTAATTCTTATTTTAAGAGAAAGATTGCAAAATGGTGCATAGACTATATTTCAGATTCAGGTCTGCTTTTCCTAGGAAATGCACACTTTCAAAGGCTTATGTCCCATTTTATTTCCTTCCCTGCTGCCTGTCTTTGGGGCGGACCTTATGTAAAAAGAGACCCCATAGCTGTTCAAGGTAGAACCTGTCACTGCCATTTGACCAATCTCTGAGCAGTTATGGTAGGGTATCAAGTACTGGTACTGTCAGCACTTCCAAGGTTGACATAGTGAAGAGGTGAGCAGTAGGAAAGCTAGGGAGAGGGCAGGGTGTGGAAGTCATACTTTAACTAACAGTAACGTAGCAATTTCTTTAACTGTCATACTTTTGATTTGGTGCATGTGTGGGTAGTGTGAGTACTGCTGTTCCCCTTGAGCAGTTGGCTATGGGGAGACTTCCTTCCTTGGGTTTAGCTGAGCAGCTGAGACCAGCCAACAGCATCTCATTTAACAATACACAGCTCTGGAACTTGCATCTTTTCTCTGGCTAACATCGGAGCAGAGCTCTTTTACACACACATTTCAGAGTGTACAGTTTTATGATAGGATCATAAAATCATAGGTTTGATGAGTGGACTATTTTATCGTCATTAACTGTCCTTCAGTTCTTGGATTTATTTTTTAACTAGCTTTATGGAAATGACAGATGTATCTTAGAGAGGAAAAAAAGGCATACTAGAGAAGTTACTTTCTGACTGAATCAGCAATTTTTAATATACATTCTAACTTATTTTTCAAAATATCTTGTTTAGGTAAGTGCCTGAGACTTTAATAAAATTCTCATACTAATTAATTCTTTCCAGTAATTCTTTCCAGAATTACTAATTAATTCTTTCCAGGATGAAGGCAATGACACATTGAATAAATGATCATTTTGATACCCCATCAAATGAAGTTCTGTATTAGTCCGGTGTTGCAAAGCTTGACAGCTGCAACTATACAAAGATTGCTATTAGAAAATTACTTTTAGTCAAACATCAAACTTTACCTTCTATTTTGTCAGTTTTCCATTGTACCAATTGCACATCTGTGCAGACTTTCCGGCAGATGTTACATGAACATACTAACTATTTCTGTGATATAAATATCCCATTGTATCAGGGATTCAAGGTCCTTTTATCAGAAAAAAACTCACCAAAATACAATATCATTGCTATGGATAATAACACAGGAAATGCATGAATGTATATTAAAGAAATCCACTTTTCCTCATTCTCCAGGTGAATTTGGACTTTCAAACCAAAGAAGTCACAAGTCAGAATATTGAACAGCCCATCATCACCACCTTTGATAGAGCACAAAACACTGTCTACAGGCTGATGGAGCAAGACAGCTACCCACGCTTCCTGAGATCTGATCCTTATTTAAATTTGGTTAAGGGGAGAAGTCCCAGTCGTCCTACCCTTAGGAGACGGTCACGGTCTTTCACTGTCAATGATTTTAAAGGTGTACGACCAGACTTTACTGTTTGGTAGCAGGGAAACTGAACCCTCATAAATTTTAGCTACTGCTGCAACTCATATGTATTTTACAGTCCAAATCCTTAGCAGGTGTAGATGAGTGGAAAGCGAAGTTACATGCACTTACACCAGGTCAGAGTTCTGTAGCCACTGATTAATCTTATTATAGAGAAGTAGGCAACATATTGTCAAGACATATCACGTAAAGCTTTCATACAGTATTTTTTTTAACCCAAGTATTTAGAAGAAAAACTTGAGTTTCCTGCATAAAAACGTATAAGATGCCAGTTGATAATATCTACTGTGTATCGTTGGCCTGTATTATTTAGGACAGGGTCTCATCACAGTTAGAATCTATATACCTAGCCTTTGCACATATTTATGATTTATGTTTCTGCAATATTTTCTACACTAAGCACAGAGTATTTGTGGTATTTTCTCATACTGCAAAACACATACGAACTTTATTAGGTATAATGTAAAGTTACAGGGATTTTTTCTACAGCCACTGCGTAATTAAAATTTAGCTATTACATATTTTAAGAGGAACATAATATCTTTAATTTTTGTGGTACAATTTGTACTGTTTTCTTATTACATGTGTCTCTTTGTATTTAAGTTATGCTGTATTTATTAGTTTAGCCATCAAATACTTGTATTCTAGGTTTTTGCAACCAAATGAGTAGCAACAGAGACCCAAGAATGCTGTTTTAACACAATGTGTGTCATTAAATATCAGGTCACATGGATGTGTGTATGTATATATCATAGTCCTACTTTTATTTGCAAATATTTATGGTATACCAACTTCGTTACTAAGCTTTGTTCTAAACTTTTTTCTGACTTTTATTTTGAAAAATAATCTGAAAATTAACAGCTCTTGGACTCAGGCAGAATAACCTTCAGTTCTACTGGTCATTACTCTCCATGGTTATAGAGGAGGAAGGAGAAATCTCCCTTTACCTTCAGTAGTAAACTGAAGTCAGATATGTCATTTTCACAGTCAGTATACAGTGTCTTCTTTCAGAATTGATGCAGACATATCTTGAAGCATGGGAAAGCTTTTAAAATCTTAAACATTGGTTCAGTTTAACAAGTGGCTGCAGGATTTGGTTGTAACTATGACTTGTATATTCAGTCGCTTTTCATGGAGTTTTAAGATATTTCCCTTCTCTTCCCTCTTTGTAAGTTGTCAAAGTGAAGAGGTGCAGTTCCTGAGGATGAAAAGTTGTGTTCATTACTAATTCAGGGTATATATGAACTGCTTGATCTGAGGCTTCCCCTGTCTGCTTTACTAACTTTCAATAAATCCTAAGTGATCTACTTAAAAAGTTGTCAGGATTCAGTTTGTCACCAGTACATTGATGAGTAAAACATGAAGACTTCACTTACAGTTCAATACCAGTTGTAATTGTGGCCATTTCAATCCGGTGTTACTGTGCAGAGAGACCCGGACTCACCAGGAAACACTGCTGAGCTGCAGTGTCCTGACAGCCATCTCCAAGCTCTCAGCTTTACCCTGGGAAGAGACAGGAAACACTTTTGCAGCTGCGAGGAGTATGAACCTTGCTGGTTTATTCCATTATCCTTCCCTGATCCCAAAACTCCAGACACATGCTATTTCTAACTGTGTAAGGCGTCAGAACCTCTGCACAGTGATTCAGGAATAAATAAAATGTTTTTAGTAATATTGATAATGTGTTTCAGTCTCTATCAATATCAAATGCAGCTTTGGAGCTTCTCAGCACCATTTTTTACAAACTGCACTCCTGTTGTCATTGTCACACATGTCACATGAATGAGTGAATACAGTGAAAAGCAACTTCCTAACACAATTTCATGGCTTGAAGTCAGTATGTTCTTCTGGATAGATTATTTATCCCTGCTCTTTGGCTGTCCCTGCGTCATGAATCAGTTCTGCACAAATGATCCTGTTTCAGATTAGGGAATCTCTAATCATAGAATCAACTAGACTAATATGTCTGAATGCCAGGTTTTGCAGGTATTTAAAATACGCAAGTTCCTATATTACTAACTTTGTTAGAGAAAGAGAACAGGTTTGAGGACATCTGCAGCTAGATTCTCCCCTCGTGTGATTATGTTTCTTCATACCAGCTGAGAATCTGCACCTTTAATCTTGCCATTGATCAAATAATTAAAAAAAAAATACTTAATACTATTCTAAAACCCAAACAAATGACAAATATAGTACCTTGAGTAAGACTTTTACTTCTTAGCAAAAAGCCAGCTGTTATTCAAAAGGGTCTGTAATGATAAATTTAGGTCAGCAGGCGCCCTTTGTTTCATTTCACTGACACATGGAAAGTTTTCTTTATCTCCAGGGAGGCCTTCCTCAAAACCATCAGTCTTGTGGTACTGACAGTGCTGGTCCCTCTTAGGAGTTTTATGATGAAAGCAAACAAGATATTTCTGGTAGCTGTTTATGCATGTATGGTTTTCAAAGATAATTATGAACTGTAGCTGAATTTACAGCATACGAATGTCATGGGAACTGCTGTAAAAAGAAAGTCAAGATAAATTCAGAGAAAGGAAAGCAGAGGGCACAAAGATAAACTAAAATGACGTATTTAGCTGGCAAAGGGTTTTTTCTAAAAGAGGGTCCTTTTAGTGGGAGAAAATGAGTGCTCTACTACTTAGTTCTCTGCTGTAGTTCTAGAAGATGAACTAAGCATAGATTTAGTACAAGTCTGTGATGCTGTCCCAAGGTTGAATTAGATGGGATTGATCAGACTAAGGGCTACCCCTGCACAGGTGGGTTTATGGTATGAACCTTAGAGTAGTGCCAGAGAGCATGGTCGGGCTTCTCTAGCTTTGGCAGAATCAATGCCATAATTATGTAAACCTTCTTGTTTAGCTGACCTAGTACAAATAACACATACACAAAACCAATCATCAAGAATTTTTACTGGGGATTATTTTCTGTAGCAGCTTTTTAGATTTGTATGTGCCATTCAGCATCCAGTAAGAGTGCTCAAAATACTCAGCTCTCAAAATATTCCTCTTACCAACATAACTCACTGTACATGCACACTTCACTTTACTCCTTATGAACATGAAGTCACCATACCCAAAGTACAAGGGAAATAATCTGCTGACCTGTGTAGCACAAAGGTTTGTCTCCTGCTTCAATACTTAAATCTTATTAGATGCTTTAAACCAGCTGAATTATTATCTGCTCTTCTTGTTTAACCGCAGGGAGATGGAAATTCACAGACACATTATCTTCTTTGGCTTTTGGAATTTAATATTGTGCAAAAGAAAGCTGTATTAATTTTTGATTTGACAAGAAACAAGAGGAATGCAATCTAAGATCAAGAATCTAAAAGAAACAGATTTCCATCTTCTGTTGAAGTTGGCAGTCAGTAATATGGCTCTTAGATGCCTTTACATGCTACGGCTTACAAGAGACTCACAAAAGTCAGATCATTTTTCTCCCCTTTTTTTTCCCCAGCTGCTCAGCGTGCCTTAATTAGGTACTGCTTTGAATGCAGTTCCCTCTCTTTACCACGCATACTGCCAAAAAACCTCAACTGAGAAAAAAAAAAACATAAAATCATCATCCTCTCCTCAGTGATTCATATGCTCATGAACGTAAGCCTGGCTTAGGTGCTTGTCCTGGATCCCGCTCTGTAATTTGCATTTTAGTCAAATGCCTCAATCAAATACCTGTGTGGCTCTATGCCAAAGATAAACATGTATTTCCTCTATACAGCATCCAGGTTGCTTCCATTCCTACTTTTGTCTCGCTAGTGTCTTGTTGTCATCTTCCACTTTTTGTATTCAATTCATTTAGGGCTGGACTCGAAAGCTCCCTCTGGTTTTATACTAAAGCTTTTCTCTCTCCTTTCCTAAATAGCATCTGTTTGCCTAACTTCCTCATAAATCTTACAACAGGTTATCTAGACACCAAGATTTACAGTCTAGCCTCTATCATTGCCTTCTCTGTGAAACGTAACTAAAATTAACTAGCATGAAATAAAATTCCATGGAAGTCAATTTAGAGTTTTCAAACAGGACAGAAGATTAAGCTGCAGCCTAATGTAAGGACAACCCTGAGCTGTTGTTCCTTCACCAGGCAATTTGCTTGTATTTTAGAGGCCCCCATTTCTTCCCAGCTTTCCAGAATTGTTTTAGATTTCTGCAGTTAATGCTACTCCATATGAGCTTTCTGAGGCATAGTGTCTACCTTTCCCATATTCTTGCATTGGTGCAATTTATACTTGTCTCATCATAAGGTTTTAATATGATCCTATATGTTTGTGCTATATTGGCTTCTTGTATGAAGTTTTGTGAAGTGTGATGCTATGTAAAAACCAGTGTATTCATCCATAAACTATGCCAAATAATCTGCTAGTTATTACTAAATGAGAATCTTCAAGGTTGTACATTTTCTTGAGAAATGTTTCCATTTCTTCTCTGATGTAGATTTGTGTTTGTATAGTGTTTGCATAGTACTTGGAAATCCCATATATGAGGGGCCCAGAATGCTGTAAAACATTTTGACAGATAGTTCTTGAAATCAAAACATTTTACCTGAAGGGCATACTTTGCTTGGGTGGAAAATAACAGCTCGTTTTCTTACGCAAAACAACTCTGTGGCATACTGCAGACACACCAAGTTATTCATATGGAAGAAAAAATAGTGCTGTGATTAAAATGTATTTGCATCCCGTATGACAGGCGTTTCTATGTTACTTAGGATGCCAGCAGTGCTCAAATCATCTTGGCTTCTCCCATCATAAGAAATGCAGCCAAGTCTCTGTGTGCTTGAATTGCCTGGACCAGCAGAACGTTAACTTTATTCTTCTGCTTAGCTTACGCTATACAAAACAATATTATCCAAGCAAACCTGGGTGTGGAATGGATTGAACAGAGGCCAACTGCTGAAGGGCAGTAACATACTGAACTTGACCCAGGGGAAACACTAGCACACCAGAACAGCTATTGGAGAGTGTGACCCTTTTTCTCATTTCAATCAGGTGAGTACGAGGTAACTGTTCTAGGAACATATATAAATGAAAGTGATTTCTTAGGTTAATGCACCAAGAGTTTGAACATAAAGCATTTTATATGGTCTATTGACATTAATATCTAACTCCAATGTGGATCAGAGGAACAAAAAACATCACACCATATTCCTCTAAACAGCCAATAGCTTTTTGTACAGGAAGGTAAGTCAGTGAAACTAGTGCCTAAAAATAGCTAAAAGAATAAAAGATGACTATCAGTAAACAGCCAAGCAGTAAGCTTAAAAGTTGAGGAGATTTAAATATTTAACAGATCAGTAGTCTTTAACAAGTAATACTGGCAAAGGAGGAAATGTTCAATCAATAGATCCACATTCCCTTTCCTACATTTCTAACTCTCCTGTGGCCTGTCAAAGATAGGAGGCTCAAAACAGGAATCCATAGCACAGTTCTGCAAGTTTCAGAAATGTTAAGTCAGAGGCCTCATCGATAAAGTTTTTAAAATACACTGAAATCAGCTGAGCAGATAAGGGTCTAAGCTGCCTTGAAGTCCAGTCTGAGTTATTATTTAACTGAGGATGCAAACATCAGCACTGTCAGCTGGATCCAGATTTCCAATTTGCACAAGCAGCTGATGCATTTGTTTTAATACTAAGATGACTTTTGCTCCTTATGAAATTTCAGTAAAATAATAATTTCTGGAAAGAAACTGATAAGTTTAAGCATTAGAAGTATATGAAAATGCTACCAACTACTTTTTATGAGAAGAGATGCCTGACTTCTCTTACTGGACTTGTGGTATTTGTACTAAGATAATAATAACAACCCTATTACATGCTGTGTTCCTGGAATATCCTGGAATATCCTGGAATCAGTTTATGTACACTAAATAGTCCCTGAACAGCATGTTACACAATGGTGAAAATCCCTCATAGCTTCTTTGTGGTTTTGTGAATTGTGATCAATACCCCATAATTGCATGAGCAATCAGACTGCATCATCTAGTTATTCTGTGTGCTGGTCAGAACACTCATAGGTTTCAGCACCTTTCTGTGACTGCTGGAACTGTCTTAAAAGTATCTGTCAGCACTGGAAATCTTCAAGAGATGCTTATGTCTGTGTCATTCGATACCAGGCAATTAGAAATATTTAAAAAAAACCCATCTGTTGTAGTGTTTGGAACTGTTTGGTTTTTTTGATTTTTTTTTTTTTTTTAAGTGTATAACCACCTGATTATAAATAAAGTAGGGACAGATTCTGCAGCCCTCCCTCTCATAAATAGTGTCACAGAAGTGAATGGGACTCTTTTCTAACAAGAATATTATTACCACTTCAAAAATTTAAAATAAGTCAATTTATGATCATAGTTCTAAGGTGAGTGAGTAGTATAATCACTGGGACTAGACACAGGGTAAGCATCAAGAAATGAATGGAACCATCCAAGAACGTTGCTCATAACTGTGTCATCTCTGTGCTTATAACTGCATTGACTTTACTGGCATTGCACCAAGGAATCTGGAGGAAACTTGCGTCAGACATTTATCTAGAATTTTGTCTCTTGGCTGAAATTCAATGCCTATTTTGAACTGCTCCTAAGTCTTTGCCACTTTTCCCTGGGAACCTAGGGCACTGAAAAGCAAAGTCCCTTTTTTGTCTTTTTTCAAATAACAAGGCGTAGTAATACACGTAAATGCCTGCATGGATTTGCAGAAGAATCTCCTGATTGCTACATGAGAAAGGTAGACCAGCAATCACAAAACATGACATTAGGGGAAAAAAATTACTGTATCAGCATTAATTGAGAAAGAGACAATCTCACTCTAAGAAAATTCGAGTTGTAGGTATTTACCATCTACAAGGCCAGAAACTCTACAAATAAATATTGTTTGGATTTTATATCATGCTTTTCCTCTTTACCAAATCTCAAACCTAGGACTGAATCAGTCACAAAGGATTCAATGTGCATGCAGATGTTGAGGGTTTTCTCTCCACCTTTAAGATGTTGAAATTAATCTTAATAGCGCAATTCATGGAAAGCTTTTGGTCCTGACTGGCAGTGTTACAGCCTGCAGTACATACTCAGTGGAAATAAGAGAAAATAACTGATTATGGAAAATAAGAAACACTGGGAAGAATCAGGATGATAATTCATATTTTTCTCCTTTTGTTATAACTTTCAGAAGAAGGTGGATGCAAAAGTAAGAAGTTGCAGAAAGGATTTGTATTTTGCTACCAGGAGTCTTTTTCAGCATTATGTAGGAATGGAAAGGGTACCTTGGGTCATCATTTCTAGTTCCCTATTATCAAAGGCAACAATTTAAAATAATCTATTTCATAAATATGTGAAGCTCTACCTTTGAAGTACAGAGGAGTAGAGAGGCCAAAAATTCTACTGGGAGACTTAAAAACACTTTTTCTGAAGCCTTCTTCATTTTCAGTCTAAATTTATTCACTGGCTGTTTATATACTGTTTTTCTTTTTTTCACAAAAGGTGTGGATGAGGAATAACTCCATAATGTTACTAAGGTGAAAATGTGGTGCATGATGGTGCCTGGGTTTTTATTTCTCACCTTAGAAGACAGACAAAAACTGAACACAGGATTTGAGGTGCAGCCTCACCAGTGCTGAGTACAGGGGGATCATCACCCCATACTCCTGCTGGCCACACTATTTCTAATATAAGGCAAGATGCCCTTGGCCTTCTCAGCTACCTGGGCACAAGCTGGCTCATGTTCAGCAGCTGTCAACCAGCACCCACAGGTCCTTTTCCAGGCACTCTTCCCTAAGCCTAGCGCGTTGCATAGGTTGTTGTGACTCAAATGCAGGACCCGGCACTTTTCCTTGTTCAACCTCATACAGTTGGCCTTGGTCCAGTGATCCAGCCTGTCCAGATTGTTCTGTAGGGCCTCTCACTCAAGCGGATCACACTCCCCCCCAGCTTGGTGTCGTCTGCAAACTTATTGAGGGTACACTTGATCCTCTCATCCAAAACATTGAGAAATATGTTAAACAGAACTGGCCCCAGTACTGAGCCCTGAGGAACACCACTTGTCACTGGCTGCCAACTGGATTGAGCTCCATTCCCCACCACACTTTGGACCTGGACATACAGCCAGTTTTTTACCCAGCAAAGAGTACGCACGTCCAAGCCGTGAGCAGCCAGTTTCTCCAGGAGAATGCTGTGGGAAATGGTGTCAAAGGTTTTACTTAAGTCTAGGTAGAGAACATCCACAGCAATTCCCTTATCCACTAAGCAGAGCACCTGCATTAATTTTACTAAAATAAAATAAAACCTACTAAGTCTGTTCCAAGCAGATAATGGGGTATCAGCTCATTGGAATTCTTCATTTTTTTTACCTGTCACTAGAGGTTACAAGAAGAACTGATTAACACTTGAAATTCCTAGCTCAAAAATCTTGGCTGGGGACATTTGTAAGAAAAAATTTCTTTAAAAAAAAACACTATTAAAAAATGTAGTTACAAACCACTGAACCAAGTTTATTGAAGAAGTAGGTGTCTTATTTTAAAACACGTGAAAAATATGAGCTAGACAACCAATGAGATTTATTCCTGGTGTTTTGTTTTCAGGTTTATTTTAATTGTAAGCATTACTACTACCTCCTGGATGAACATTCAAGTTCCAATGTCAAATAATATATTGTATGAGTCCATATGGCTCTCTACACTCTAAAAAAAAAACGCGTCCTGCTTTCTGTTGACTTTCTGTTATTCAGTGCATAGGGTAACAGGCTCTGCTCCCTCAGGGAGATAGCCAAATAATAGACTAGCTGCCACAGACTGCACAGGCAAAAGATCCCAATGCTATTTTCAAGGATAGATGTTGTTTCCACAGGTCAAACGCTGATGAAACCATGGCCTGGTCTGAGTCTGTGGATACAATACTAGCTAATAAAGGTAAGCAGTGAAAAATAAATTTTTTTAAAACATGCATCAACCCAGTTCACAAACGTTGCCATAAGGTTTTCACACTGCTTTCCAGTTGGACTCTCCACGTGCTTTGAACTACACTAATACTGGAGGCATGCAACCTGCCATGCTGAAAGGCAGAGGGGGCATGTTTCTCCAAGCTGCAAACACAATATACCTCTGGTCAGTGCTAAAGGGACATATAAGAAGGCAAAAGCCTCTGAAAGCATTTTGGTTTAAGATACCATGTTAAACTATCCATGCAATGGTTCTCTTTCTCCTTTTTTTTTAATTAAAAAACTCTCCCAAAACCCACCAAATCAAACACACAAACCCTTTCTTCAGTATTCCTGTTACATCAAAATATATGTGCTGTGCATTGGCTTTCAGTCAAACAAAAAGTAATTTCTAATTTATCCAAAGTCACTTCTCTAATAGATCCCATTCCTACTGACCTGAAACCTCAAGCCACATGTAACTTTAAAATTTCCTTGCCCCTGCCCCATTTTCTACAGTAACTTTGTGGCCTGGACACTGGGGTGCCTCCACGCTGTATCTTAATAGCATTAACTTGACTAACAGAACTTAATTTGGGTGCTGTCAGCTTTTTTTTCTAAGAGGTTGCAACTTGGATTAAGTGTAAATCAATTTTGTCCTTTCTTTATTTATCTTTTTCCTCTTAAAAATGTAAAAAATGCTGAATAAAGAAATAACAGAGTCCATGTCTTTGTCCAAGTCTCTATCATTATTTGAAAGAAGATGGAAGGGCTATTCAAGCAGGGTAACCTCAGCTCTGAGGGGAGCACAGTAGTGCAATATAACTTAGATTTCTCATTGCTTCGTAGAGCAGCAGTGAGCCTCAAATCCCTAATTTTCTAGTCACTAAAATCCTTCTTGAAAGCCAAGATCTCTAGGATTCCCTTTTAACTAGTGTATCAGTGCTAGAGACCAGACAGTAGCAGGGAGCTTTCCTCAGTTAGTAACTCTCTGAAAGAACTCTTAGTCACTTTATCATTGCTGTAGTTTCATCTCCTATTTATTTCTCCCTCAACAGCCTCTTAAGACTAATTGATGGCTGATAGGCCAAACAATATCAGACACTTAAGTTACACCGTATAAAATGCACATATATATATACACACGTGTATGTACATACATATGATCTGTATTCGTCTTTCAGTTTTCCTCTACCCATCATCTCATGCATTTTTTCTCCAGATGGCTTGGCAGCTTTTAGGACATTTTTAAAGTCAGAGTTCAGTGAGGAGAATGTGGAGTTCTGGCTCGCCTGTGAGGACTTCAAGAAAACCAAGTCCTCGGCTAAGATCGCTTCAAAAGCCCGAAAGATTTATTCTGACTTCATACAAGCTGATGCTCCAAAGGAGGTAAATAGTTTTCTGTGTGTACTTTGGGTACTGAGTATGGGAATCAATTGGAAAGTTCAGATACAAACTTCTAGGAATAACAGAAAATACAATTCAGTGTGGCTGTTTTGCATTTTCATGTCAATTATTTACCAGGTAGGAAACACTGCATGGGACTCTGTAAAGCAAAATAAGATCTTTTATGGTATATGTGCTTTTCACAGAGGGCATGGGTTTATCTCACCTTCTGAAACGTCTACCTTAAAATTTAATGAAATATATATTTGATAGAATTTGTTTTCTCTAACCATTTTAATAATGCAATAAGCACCATTTCCTCCATATTTTAGGTACCAGTATATTGGAATATTAGTATATTAGTGGTTGTATTTGTTCTTTCATACAGGTATTTTGACATGATAAAAATTAAAATGGAAACTTGCAAAACATTTCCATCACAGCATTTAATGTTATCTACTCAAAAAATGCTTGTGATGAAGGAAGAAATTACTACTTGATTATTGTTCACATTCTACTCCCTAACAAATTTTTACACTCATGTTTTTGCCTCTGACAGTGAGTGTGCTTTGAGTGTCTCCATGTCTTACATATGATTGAAATCCATTTTATTATGATAAAAACCCAAAAATACTTTTATAAAATACATAAGGCCAAAACCTAAACTGATGCTGAGTACCTTCATCCCTAATTTACCCATCGATAATCAGTACTTCAAAGGATTTGCATTGGCAAAAAATGAGATAAACAGAAGCAAGTTTTTCCCCGTCTTTTCTGCAGTGATGCCGTCTCTTTAAGAGTCAAATAAAATTAAGAATTCAGTATGGTAGAAAATTAAGGGATAACCTTCCTGCTTATTTGCATCAGCCAGGATATTTGAGGGGAAATTCAGATGCAGACTGTGTCTTGTAGAGGAACAAACCTCAGCTTTCCAACCAAACTGACATTGGTTTTATGCTTCCTTTTTTCCTACAGATTAATATCGACTTCCAAACTAAAACCCACATCTCTCAGAACATCTCTGAACCCACTCTCAGCTGCTTTGATGATGCTCAGAGGTTAGTCTATAGTCTCATGGCAAAGGACTCTTTTCCCAGGTTTCTAAGGTCAGAAGTTTACAAGGAATTGGTAAAGAAGCAACAGAATGGAAATCAGAAGAGATGGTTCCCATTTTTGTGAGAAAATGCCCAAGGGATTATGAATTTGTATATGTCTCCCATTGCAAGTCAGTACAGTTAATATTTTATTGAACTGATTGTACAAACCAGATCTAAATTGCCTTTGCCAGCTTGTTTTTAAGTACAATAGGCACATGATACTTTCTAATAACAGTGGAGAAATAGTCAAGAAACAGGATAGAATATGCCAAGACATTTGAGCTTCCTTTTTAGTAAAGAAGTTTGCCATTGAAAATTTTGCCAGTGCTTGCTTTATCTGTCAAAGTGTTTTCACATTAAGCAGAATGTTTTGGGTTTTCTGATTTGTTATTGATTTTTCTGTAGAAGTATGGCCTCAAAAATAAATTTCAGGGGACTTGGATACATTTACTCATTCATTCATCATCTCATTTGTAATATGTAAAAATAAAAAAAATTAAAAAAAATCCTCCTTTAAGCATATTTTATACCAACTAAAAACAGGAGAAGTAGAAATATGGTAGATAACACAGTATGATAATATTTAATAGGCAGATGTTTTATGACAAATGTCCCTGGCTTTCAGAGCATATTACTGTTTCATAATGCAGCTGTCTTCAATATGACTCTATCCAATTTTCTTTGTGTTTATTTAATTTGAATTTTTATTGAGAAGTCTCATTTATTAATTGTGTAGGCATTTGGAAAAAAAAACAACAAACCCTGAGTAAATATTCCTTTGTACATTTTCAGTTAGTAGTTCCTTTTCTTTGCTTTTCCAAGTGTATCAGTGATACTGTCCCCATGCACTCATGAAATGAGTTATTACAATTTTTCAATGAAATACAGGTGAGCAGAAAAGTAAACATCAGAGAAACAGTTTCAGGCAAGTAAGCATGTAGATCAGAATTTAGTCATGGTGTTATTTTTCAAACAAGCAAGATGCAGTAGGATTCTAGTGCAGTTATCATGTTTGCACACACTGATCTCGTTCATTGCTGTTGGAGAGTTTATTGTGTATATTTTGATGAAGGAAGGAGCTGTTGTATAGTACTGAAATAAGAAATATTTTAAACCATATTGGGCCAGGAAGAATCTTCACTATGGAATTAATTCTAAATACAAGAGATAGCAGTAAGATTTTTCTTAAAAACAAAACAGGAAAATACCCCCCAAAACCTTTAATTTGATATTAATTTGATTGTTTCGATTCTTTTGCTTTTGAGCTGCTCTGAATCTCTAGGAATCTCTCATTCTCTGTTCATGCCTTCTCTACACCATCGCATATTCTATGCAAAAGATCCTCTCTGCTATCCAACTACATTAAAGAACTAATTCATGTAGGAAATAAAGGATATTAAGTAGTCTGAAAGCCCCAGTACACTGTCTTGAGTTGTATACTTAGGTTCCCTGCCACAGCTTATGTAGGTAGTTGGTTAGGTAGGGTGTAAAATGCCTCTTCTTTGACACCCACCATCTTTACTATCACCTACTTTTTCTCGCTGTCTTCTTTTCATTTTCATTTCTTTCTTCCCCAGTACTAGTGGTTAACAGAGAAACAAACACAGTCGCTGCGGTTGAGCTGAAAAGAGGATGTAGGTTTGTTTTGCAGTCCCACAGCTACCATTCATTTTGCAATGATACTTCTGTGGAAAACTGCAAGTTCTGCCTACAGTGCAGCCTTGGTCTCCTTTCTGCACCAGGGGATTTCTGCTGCTTAAAGTCACAGTGAAGGCAGCAGTCAGGATTGCTGAAATTTACTCAAAAATGCAGCAGGTAATTTTCTCTTCTTACAAATCCAGTTCTCATTTTCAGAAGAGAAACTTGCCGCATGTTGGAAGAAGTGGGATCACATCACCTTTCTTAGCAGGGCAAGTAGAAAGAAAAAAATTTACCTTGAAAAGGGATGTGTGATCATGAAACCTCACAACTCCTTTAAAACTTGCACACTTTTGACTTTACACCATCACAGACAGAGCTAGAAACTGGTAAAAAGATGGCTTCCAGGGGTCTCCAACTCCTGTCTGCTTGAAAACGCAGCATAAGGAAAAGTTAAAAATATACATAAAACAGTCAGGTTGTGTGGAATCATGTGAATGAAGCCACGTAAGCCAGTGGAAGGGCCCATGCTCACCTTTGTGTGAGTTAGATCAAATGTGAAATAATACAATCCACTATCTGAACTAGAAATATAAAATTTCTGGAAGTTCTGAAGCCTAGAGACTAAAAATAGCTGTTTTTTTACCATAAAGACTCTGAATTTTGGGGAAGACTACCTGTTATATCTGGACTTTACTGCTATGTGTAAGAAAGGGAAAGCTACCATATATAATTTGGCTCCTGCAAAGAAAGTGCAGGTAGATTAAATTAATAACACCAGTATAAGATCATATTTTATTAATTAATTTTTATGTTCATTTTGAGAGAAAACACCTCCCAGAAAAGTTTCTTTTCCATTTTTTTCCCAGCTTTTCAACTTCTATAATACTTGGCCATGGAAATTAGACTCAATGTATTCTTACAACTTTCAGAGGAGGCCCTGAGTGCTTTGATCTTTAGTGAGAAAAATGAGACAATACTAAAGCAAATGATTCCCTGCCTTATTTTTTTATATTGCTGCTATGGTTTAGCTGTCCTAAGGAAGACATTAGCTTGCATTATTTTTTCTTCTATATTGCATGGGTTTGGTTATTTGCATATAAAATGAGTAGAGTTGGATTTGTCTCTCAGTCCATATCTGTTTCCATTCAGGTTTGCATGTAGGTTATTTTTAGTTCTATGAATATTTTGCCTACTATGCATAATAGTCCTGGAAAGGTAAACAAAGGCACATACTCAGTAAAAACTGTACGGAAACCATGTTTTTCCTAATACAGTAGTTATAACTTAAAAGCTCATAAACCAGAGAAGAATGGAAAAAATCTTTAAATAAGTTGTATTTTTTGAATAATTTCAAATGTACTATGCTGTCATATAAATACCTTGTTTTAGCTGAGAGAAAAGGGCAGGAAGAGAAGACATAAGGAAAATGTAGGATTTACTGTTTTGGATAAAAAACATCTGTGTTGGCAGCAACATCTTCATGACTGCACAGCATGGAGAATGTAGCAAGGCAGGGTACAGAGAGATTACCTTACACTGGTCAATCATGCCTAGGTTGGAGCTTCAGTTCTTCACCAAGTTCCAGTGGCAAAGAACTCCTCATTAATAATGTATTACCTTTCTCTCCCTCTGAAATGTAGAGTAATTGTGCCATGTTAACTTCAGGTTACAGATTCTCTAGTCTTTAAATGACCACCACACATAAATGATGTTATTAATGGTTCTTGTGGTCTAATTACAGATAGTTCTGTCACTAAGCTAAGCAAATACTCAACATTCAGGGCTCAAGGGGCATTTGCTTCTAAATAAAAATTAAAGAATACAAAGAAATATAAACATCACAAACTCAGGAAAGCTCATTCTTCACATAATGTAACATGGGAAGCTGCTTTGAAAGGCTGAACTAGTTTGGTATTTAAAATACTATATTCAATAGTAAGATGCATAGGCAAATTCAGGCTGAAAGGGCCAACATTTCATCCTTGAAATGCTCTTGACACTGTAAAATGACACTACATAAACTAGGAGATAAGAGATAAAATGCCATGGACTGACAACGACACTACTGCTTGTACTGCTAATATTTTTCTAAGTTCTGCACTCTGTCTACCTGGTCTTTCACCCAAGCTCTTCACCACAAAGGAACTTCTCCTGGTTCAAGCTCATTCTAAATTTGTACAGAGCTATCATTTGTCTTCTACTTGAACTTGCATTCATATTGTATAGTTTCACCACCAGCAACTATACAATATGAATAGTTTCAAATTGATTTGAATTTAATTTCCAGAACAAATTGACTGGATTTTGATCTAAATGCAATCATTTTTCCTGTTGTAATGAGATAAAATGGCACAGTTGGAAGCCCTTGTATTTATTGAATTCCTTACCAGAGCTGAGCCTTTTAGGAGAATAAAATTAAAAATGTGGCTTGTTAAATGGCATAAAAGGGGGGTTTGTGATATGATGCCTTTTCAAGTCAAATGCTAAGTGCAACATATTCCAATCTAGACAGTCATTAATATTGACACCTTTTACAGTCTCAAATGTCTTTCACTGTTAATATTGAGTCAGTACTGGAAATTCTGTATTTTGAGACAGGAATTAATAGAATAATTAGAATTAGAAATATTAGAAATATTAGAATAACCTGTAGTTGGATCATACTTAATATTTTGTGATACTTATGCCATATTGCAGTTACTCTCACCCTTTATGCAGCTCTCTGCAGTGACAATGACATACCCCATTGGAGCTGAATTCTGTTGATGTGAATACATGGGTTCTCTTAGCAAAACTGAGTTTCTGCATAAATTTTAAATCAGGAAAATTGGATATTAAAAAATATGCCTAGATTGGTTCTGTCATTTTTAATGGCAGGTCTCCAAGCTGCGTCCAACATTTTTATTAGGACTATTTTTTTTTTTTTCTGTGCATAACTAGGTAGTAAGTCTCTATTTTAAACTGAAATTAGAATTGGAGGAATGGTAAAAGGGGACAGGAATGAAGGATTCCAGTTTAAAAAAAATGTCCATCTTGTCCATAAAGTGTCACGGGTTTCTGTGAAGTGAATTAATAATAAAGAATACCTACCACAATTAAGTACTTTATCCCCTAAAAATGCCATTTCAGGTTAGCTCTATTTTTATTATGAAAATAAAAATGTATGTTTCTTAAAAAAAGGGTGGAGTTTTTTGTTGGCTTTGTTTCTCCTTAGAATGGGCAGAAATATGAAGTAATTCACACTTTACTGTCCTCTGTGAAAACAGGCTTTTATGCATTGGTAATTGAAGTCCATAAAAGAAAAAAATTGAAGTCCATAAAAAAACCTGTTCTCTGTGAAAACAGGTTTTTATGCATTGGTAATTGAAGTTCATCAGACAATTCCTATGAGCTGTTGCTTGCCAAAGTGCTTACAGAGGCATTGTGGTGTATGCCACAAAATTATCTGGTTTTATTTTTGAAGAAAATTGTATCTCACATCTTACTTTTGTAATACATTTCTATATGATTTTATTAATTTTTATGTTAATTGTGTATTTAAAATTATTCCAGGAATTGATCTTTTGTTGGAAATCCATATGAAAAAGAGAAATAACAAAAAGAATTACAGCCCATTAGAGATCTCCTTTCAGTTCTCAATTATATAAAAGTGAGGGGAATTCATGTGCAAATGAAATCTGCAGGCATTAAAAGGGGATGTAGTACAATGTAATTGAAGAGAAACTGCATAGAGGCAGCAGACTAATGACAAAAAAAAGTAATGAGATTCAGCTTCATAAATGTTAATCTAATACATTTAGGGGAAGACAGCTTGAAATGCAGCCCACTGGGCAGGTGGTATCTAGCAGTATTGTTGAAGGGCATTCTGCACCCTTGGTTTAAGGGCTTGTTTATTCAGGTGTATGTATTAGCTCTTCTCAAAAATACCTTTCAAAGATCTGAACTAGCAGATAATGTTTAAACAATGTCCCTTTTGGCTTTGCCTATGATGGGGAGTATAGAAGTATAATTCCAAGTGCATGGCCTCACATTAAGGACAACCAGCTCCAACTGAGCTTTGCTTCAGGAATTGAAAGCAGTTCATATGGATCTGAATGTATTAGGTCCAAACGCAGTCCTAGAATTCAATAAGCATCTTGAATGTACACAGCCTTGAACTATTTAGGGTTCATTTCATTTTCAAAATATTGTTGGTGTTCACGGGGCAGAGAACCGTTGCTCTCCAAAATTTTCATACATTGGCATTTTGAAATTGGAAGCACCTCATTTATCTGAAAGATATCCGTGAACCAGCAGGAACCCAGTGACTAGGAAATTAAGGCAACAGATGTTTGAGTTATGAAAAAACATTATGACCAGAAGTGACCATAAATACAGTATCTCGGCCAAGGTAATGTGAACCAGGTCTGTTAAAGCAGCATAAAAGCAGAAAACATGGAACACGGTTCAAGGAACCAGCGTGATGGGATTACAGCTCCATGATACAGATTGAGGATTTTTTAGGAATTTTTCCTTGTTTT